GCTGGGGGTATTTGTGCAAGGGACACATCCTTCCCACAAAAGGACATCCGCATCGGCGTCTGTCGTTTATACGAATACATTGATGGAAGAAAACATTGATGGAAAAAGAGGTTGATGGAAGAAAACATTGATTGAAGAAGAGGTTGATGGAAGAAGAGGAACATTGATGGAAGAAGAGGTTCATGGAAGAAGAGGTTGATGGAAGAAGAGGTTGATGGAAGAAAACACAGGAGTCATGTGGAGTGGTGTAAGAGAGAAGAGGTAAAGGCCACACGTTCCGACAGCGGGTAGTGGCGCAAGCTGTTGGAGGAATGCATGCGATTAATGAATTAAACAAAAAAAATAAAAGCCGTTGGAGAAGAGACGCCAAGGACATGCGAGTGATATCTCATGATATAGGCCAATGTCCGCTCTGCGCATCCACAGCGCCGTTCACCTCTTCAAATATCCAGAGTTCAACTTTCTGTACGGATGGGCCTCTCACACTGAGACAAGAAAGTTCAACCAATTTAGTCTATCGTATCAATACCCTCACCCTCTAGCAACACTGGAAGTAGTCCAGTCCCACAGAACAGAACAGTGTACAGCCAAATCTCTGTACATGGGCCACCTCATTCAGGGCTGATATAAACCTCCCTTATGCACTGACAAAGCGACGTAATGGTCTGGGTAGCCACATACTGCCCACACACTCAATCCCCGGGCCGCACACGGGAAGTGCCAAGTACATCCCTCTACACGCTTCCATGAGAACGACAACAACACCCCGGACTAAACCTCTCGTCATGAGCTACTCTCTTTATCTTCCATCCCATCTCCATCCCATCTCCATCCCATCTTCGCCCCATCTTCAGGTCTATCTGTCCAGCTCCCATAAATCTGGCGATGAGCACGAGATAAAACGTACGTTCCATCGATACTTGGCTGTGTGTATGTTTGTTATTCGTCTTACTACTAGTGGCTATCTACTAGTCCCTGGACCTCGAGGCCGCCTAAATACTAGTTTGGACATACCTCGGGACTCCATGGGGACTCATGTCATAGGACGAGATAGGACGAGATTAAGCTCGTACCCATCACTAAATACTTAAGCATAAACACCTACAGTAGACTCGCCCTATAAGGGTACATACCCCATAAGAGTACGACCTCGAGCCACTTTTGTCTTTATGGGGCGAGTCGACTGTGCCAGTCGGTCTTTCTCTAGCCAGAGACTCCAGGATCTATATATCGACCGATCTCAGTACCATACCTTAAAAAGGGAGCTGGAAGTCTATGCATACCGACATATATTTCGGCAAATCCCCAAACGACGCCAACATTGCCCTAGCCTTAGGGCTACATACAATCAAGGAGTAGCAGCAAAGCCACACCTACAAAACCACCGAGTGACACGCCATGACGCCACACCCCCTCACCCACGCATCTTCCCACAACCCACCGCCTACGGAACCAGGAACACCGCCAGCAGACATTTTATTTATTCCTATAGCTACTCTAATCTATTGCACACCACTAGTAGGCATTTTGAGTATACAACACACCGGCACTCGAAAGACAGAGAGAGAAAAAAAAAGAGAGATAAGAAAATGGAATAGGAAATAAGAAAGGTGACCCAGCTAGCTCCTTGGATTACTTACAATATATATACACCACCACAGACACCACAGATACAGATAGACGGCCCCCCGCTATAAGAAAGCAGGGAATGAACGATAGGAAGAACACAAGAAGAAAAGATGCAACACCGCGCTAAATATCCCAATAACCAAGGAGGAAGAAAGATAGTGAAGAAAGAAAGAAAGAAAGAAAGAGAGAAGCAAGAGATGGATATAAGAAAAAAAAACCTAAAGAAAACCCCCATTGAAAGCTAAAGATAACAAGAAAATATACGGAAAGAGACACCAGATAAACAACAAGAAAAGAAATAATAGAGCACCAACCACTACCACAAACACCCAAAATCAAACACCACAATCGCCGCCACAACCCTCCCCTCCTCCCTCCACCTCGTTCTCAACGCCAAATGCCTCTCACTCCACTGCACGCCATGCAAGAACTCATTATACACCTCGCCCCTCACCTCCACGACGCCTCCCTCAACGGACCTCCACGCGCGGCCTCCTCCGCCCGCAACCCTCACCACCATCCGCCCACTCTGCACCATGACCCTCTCACCACCAGTGCCCACCCCCGCGCTGCGATACGAGCCCACATCAATCCTGAAGCGCCGCATGGGGCCCGTATCCCCGCTCGGCTTCACATTATAGAACGTAGCGCTGCACTGCTCCTCCGGCAGGAAGATCTCGAAGCGCTGACAGCGGTCACGGAACGCCTCCTTCTTCTCCACCGCTGCCACGGCCGTGGTCGCCGCCGCTCCCGCACGAGGAACATTGGCTGGGACGGCTGTGTCGTCGGCGGGAATGCGGAAGCGGCGCTGAAAGTCCTTGCCTTCGTCGATGATGGAGCGGTATATGCTCTGGACCATTTCGAAGCCGGCCGGCGCAGTAGGGTTTGGCTGCACGCTCCACGCGGAGAAGGAGACGGTTGATGGGGTCACGGCGGTGTCGGTGTCGCTATCGTATGTGTATGTGCAGGCGCAGGTAGCAGGGTGGCCTGGGCAGGGTGGCGGCGGGGGGCGTTTGTCGATGAAGACGAAGCAGCTCTCGACGATCCAGAAGACCTCGCCCTTGGGCGGGTAGTCCATGTAGAGGTCGCTCTCAACGAATGCTCTGTCGCCAAAGCGGTTTCCGAGGAAGGGGGAGTGCTTGAGGTCGTATTTGGCGAGGAGCCTTCCGGGAGGGCCGTCATTGATGGAGAAGACGCGGACAAAAACGGGGCCCCAGAGGCTGGGTAGGGCGTCGGTGTCTTCATGAAGGATGATGAGGCGCTTGAAGGGGCGATCGGTGACCATGACGAAGAACTGGTCGCCGTTCGAGATCTCGGAGGAGCGCTCGAGCTCGGTTTCAAGGAGGGTCTCTCCCGTGAGGATGTTGTGGGCGACAAAGTGCAGGATGGCGCGGTGATGGGTGATGGGCGTCTTGCGGATGTAGGTGAGGCGGTCTTGGGCAAAGTCGACTTCGCCGAGGAGGCGCTGCGGGAGCAGGATGGGCAGCTTCCAGAGGAGTCTTGCACTGGGGATTGCAAAGACGAGTATTCTGTTCCCATCAGCCACCGCCATTCACTAACAATTTCTTCTCTTTTTCTTCTTCTACATCTTCTAGGAATCCACTCACAGTGCTCTCCGTCCAAAGCCGTAGCCGTCCGTGGGCGAATCGTAGAAGTTCAACGTCACGACGAGCAACCCCTTCCCCATTTGCACATTCATCCTCGCCCTCACAAGATCTGACATCTTGACGACGCCCCCATCCAAGCACAGCGGATCCAGCGCCACTAGTATCCGCTTGTCGCCCTCAAGACTCTGCACCCTCAGCACACGGTCCTCATGGCTGGTCCAGGCCGCATAGCCGTCGGCGGCATCCCACTCGATCGAAGCCTCGTCGCTGCAGTCCAGCAATACCTCATGTACCCTCGTCGGCAGTCCCAGTCGGCGTGTATGGAAGCGGTATGCAGCACGGCGGTAGGGCAACACAACACTGTGCGGGTTGGGGAGGCTTTCACGGAACTCGACGGCCTCGGCGGTGCGCGGGAAGTGCGAGATGAGGGCGATGCGTGCAATGTACTCGGAGGCGAGGAGACGGTACCAGGTGCGGGAGACACCCTGCAGTCGGATGATATCGATGGGATCCAGGAGCTCGATGATGGGGGCAATCTCGAAATCGCCGAGATGGGTAAAGGGGTCCATGGGCGGCATGGAGGGAGAGGCGGGGGGAGGTGAGGTGAGGTGAGGTGAGGTGACGGATACTTCTGTTGCTGTTGCTGCTGCTGTTGCGCGCTTGGGAGGAGGAGGAGGAGGAGGAGGAGATGAGATAAGTATTTCTTTCCCTTGGTTTTTTTCTCTTTTGCTTTCCTTTCTTTTTCCTGCTCTTTGTGTCGCGTGAGGGCTAACTACTGCGGTTGAGGAGTGTGTGCTGTATGCTGCTGCAAGAATGTGGAATGGAAACGGAGGGACTGAAGACACGGACGGAATGATGCGATTGGTGCGCTCAAGGCGGGAAAGAGACGGCGGGTGGTGCCGTTGCTAGCAGGCACGCAGGCAGGCAGGCAGCAGGGAGGCAGCAGGCAGGGAAAGGGAAAGAAACAAACCAACCGGACCCCACGCGAGATGTGGGGGAGAGATGGCACTAGTGATTATAGAGATTAACGAGATGGATTAGATACGATGGTATCCCGATATATGGACACAGCTGAGAGGATGCTGAAGAGAGCGAGCGAGAGAGCGAGGCTTGGCTTGGCTTGGATTCTCTGTTCAGACGTCTCTCTCCTCCACTTATGTGTCTCCAGAAATCGAATGTTGACCGGCCGTATGTACTCTAGGTAATTCTAGCCATCATCCCTCAGGAGCTCCTTCATCGTCCTTCACTAGCAACCCGGGTTACAAATCGATAATGGGCTGCTTAACAAGGACAGAACACTCTGAAATAGATGTCTGAGAGGAATTAACCTAGGCAATTGATCTACCTACCAGGCCTATCTACTACTGCACTTTATCCACCGCCGTACCTACATATGTATGCACATAGCTACTCTCATGATCATGCCCCAGGACAATGGATGCACTTCAGTGTTTATCGCCGCGCATAAACAAATCAAAACAAGGGCTAGGTTTCTGCGCATCTCCCGGCGCAGCAACGACAAGCCAACAACCCCTGTCACGCACCGTCAAGAAATAATCAATCACCTGGGGTCACACACGCACACACACACACACACCACACACCTCACTCACTCACTCACTCACTCACACGTCAACCCGGTTCCAGGCACTGAGGTCCGGTCCTTTTCTTTTTGATACTTCGAGATACCAACGCCCAAGTATCAAATACATACACACGCACACGCACGCTCACGTCTCAGATACATTCATTCTATCATTGACAATGTCGACCTCGCCCGAATCCCAATCCCACTCCCCCTCCGACTCCCACTCCGACTCCCACTCCGACTCCCACTCCGACTCCCACTCCGAATCCCCCGACCCCCAAACACCAGCAGCACCAGCACCAGCACCAGCAGCAATAGCAGCACCAGCATCAGCACCAGAACCGGCACAGGCACAGGCACAGGCACAGGCACAAGCACAAGCACAAGCATCAGCACCAGCACCAGCACCAGTACCAGTGCCAGTACCAGTACCCTCACAGGCACCCTTCCAACCACACCCCTCCTACCACCGCCCCATCCACCCCGCCCCCGCCCCTCTCCCCAAGCTCCTCCCCGCGCCCCAAACCCCCCAAACCCGCCCAACCCCCCCCCTCCCCGCCAAGCCCGCCACCGACGCCGCCGCCAAACCCGCCGCCACCACCGCGACGATCACCATCCCCACCGAGACCAACCCGGCCAACATCCCGCGGCGCGGCGCTGAGGTCGGCATCGGCCGCCGTGGCGCCGCCGTGGCACTCGGGCAGACGGGCCTCCCGCTCCGCAACATCTCCGCCATCCTGCACCTGCCGCTCTCGACCGTGTCGGGCATCATCTCGCACGCAAAGGAGATGGCCGAGGTCAATGGCGGGTCGCCGCTCGACGATATCAACCTCCGCTCGAAGCGCCGCATGGGCAGGCCGAAGAAGTGGACCGTGGAGGAGAAGAGGGTGGTAAGTTGCCCCGCCCCCGCCCCCCGGAGGGATGTGCTGGGTAGGGACTGATGGGGAGCAGGTCATACAGGTGTGTACGCGCGACGCCAAGCAGCGGGCAAAGTCGTATGTCATGCTGGCGAAGGAGTGTCCGTTTAAGATTGATGAGCGCACGGTGAGGAGGATCATGACGGAGGCTGGATATGATCGTAGGAGGAGCCATGTGCCCGATGCCGCGGAGAGGGTCTCAGATGATGTGGATGAGTAGTGTAGTGGACCATCAGGGAGGAGGGCGGGGGGTGAGGAGGGTTATGGCGTTGGTGAGTTTGGGTTGGTGTTCCCTTTTTTGTTTTGTTACTTGTTTTTTTGTGTTTGTGTTTGGGATTCGGGGTATTGTGCTACTGGGTTTGTCATTTTTGCAGCTGTAGGGAAGGGGCTTGTGTGTGGGATGAAGGACGAGAGAGAGAGAGAGAGCCAAAAAGTGAGGGTGTGTGTGTGTGAGAGAGCTGGAGTACCGATACATCATGGTACCGATCATGGGGGTTTGGAATCCCTCCCCGACTCCAAACCCTCATGGTGAGCTAGTGGATGTCATATGAGATGATTTGTTTGCCTCCAATGCGGATTCATATTCCATATATGCCAATTGCCCCCCCTCCCCTTTTCCATGCCACTGCTCGTTATAAGTAATAGCCCGAGAGTACGTTGTCCCTGCGTATGTAGGTGGTAATAGAAGGAATTTTCCCAGTACGAGTGATGATACGTGCATGTAGTTACAGTGAGAAACGGAGACCCTGCATCTAGTGTATATATTGAACATTTGAGCCCGAAACATAGCCAGTGCTCAAAATCTGGAACCCAATTCCTCAAAAGCCACTTACCACCCCTACCACTCTCCTCAATCCATGTCCGGGGGTTCGTATATTCAGCACTATTTACCTACATGTAGCTACTCATCCCTTCCCTCCCTCATCGACTATCACTCGCACCACACCATAGCAACGAGTGATGCCACATGTTCAGGCATTGGCCGTGGGATGGCTGAAATAGGGCGTGGAGTTTCTAACCCGGGTTGGCAAAGAAACACTTCCGGTCATGTCCCCAGAAAGAAGGCGTGGATGGCGAGTGATAGCTGCTAGCTGGCTGGATACAGGGTCTTTTTTGGGGGGTGGTGAGCGCTTTGGCGGGATAGTACGAAAGCATCGAGGGTGGTTTAACCTGCTGGTCTTGCATGGTCTTCTAGGGGTTTCATAGCTTATGCACGTGCGCCTGTAGGTAGTGGGGAAGCTAGGCTTGTACCGAGCCCTCCTAGGCATAGAACTGGCTTTTTGTGCTGAATTTGGACTTACAGGGCGTGGTCGACGTCCAGCTAGCACGGGTTTGTCTGTGCTGTGATCTTATAGCTTAGTGGTAACCGGGCCCTTGAATTAACCTTTCCTCGCCTTCTCAGATCTGGCCGCTCCCGACCCATCCTTTCCACGTACTCAGGGTAGGCAAGAAGAACCTAAAAATAACTTTTTATGGCAACGACCTCTGATTCGCGGCTGGCGAAAAGCTACATCAAATTGAGCCCCTGCTTGCAGCTTGCATTTTCAGGTTCTTATTGCCTGCCCCGAGTACTGACTCTGTTTAAAACCATAAAGTGGAAAGAGCGTCCACACCCAAGGAAGTCTGTCAACTCTATATCATAATCATGGGACGCATAGTCACGGCACTCCCATCTACTATCTGCATAACCTACACTACATTGCTCACACACTGTCCATTGGGCTGAATGGCTCTAATTCGAAATTCTGGTTTTCTTGGTACGGGCATGGTGTACATACATGTATGTGTTGTCAGATTTTGACGTTCACTGTGCTAGTATTGATACATGCTGTCTCAGAAAAGCTTGTCTACTTGCTAATGCTAGACCGCCGTGTGCTAGCCTATACAGAAGCTCGAAGGCCAGCCCGGGGAGAAGATTCCTCAACGGACATGTCCATTGAAGAACCAGCTATTGCGGATCAATCTTTTTACGATCGAATCCCTTTTTCTTTAAGGAAAGGGCGGCTCAGGGCTTCCCAGCCCTATGGATTACTATATGGGCAATGCCAATGTGGCGTCTCTTTCTATATGTCTCATGCTTTACGCAGCAGATATTGATAGGGATATCGATAACTAGTCCTAAGCTGAGGTTGGGCGCGGAAGCCACTGTATTGAATGGCAAACGGACTGGTATCTATCCATACTGAAATACTCGTACAGGCTTTGATAGACGGGCTCCAAATGGCCATGGGTATAAAAGAATTATTTCATACCTTCCTACCAATGCTGTGCCAGGCCGTGGGACTGGTATAGTTGAGAAACAACGGCCGTTTTAGCAATGGTACAGCCAGGTTCCAGACCTTATATGCTTATTATATTTAGCGCAAGGTAAATACATAGCCAATGACCGTGCCAGGGATTAGTACGTGCACTCGGGAATTGAAACTGATTGTATTTTCTGGTGCGGAAGTCATCAGGCGAATAAATACAGTTCACCTCACTCACTACTCGTTCAATCTATCTAACCCTTGAAATGAGTGGCTCTAGAGTGGCACGGGTAAATAAGGTGAGACCCATTGTCTTTTTTTGCTCCCGCTGATACTGACAAATACATTATTGGTGCAGCGCAACGACTATTATTTCTTGTCTGGCTTTCTAGATAGCTCGTTTCATTTCCCTGGGTGAAATGGACAAGAAAAATATTCTGCCATTATAAATTTCACCTTCCTAAAATATGGGGAGAGCAGCCTCCCCGAATGAGATCCGTAGTGCATGGCCCTAGGCCTTGTTAACAGCTGGAGGGTCAATGATACACTTATAAATGTCCCGAACAGGTTTAGGCTTTTTGGACCCCCAAACCAGGCCGGGTAGCTCGCAGCCAAGTTAAGTAATAGAACCTCAAAGAAGTGTTAGGACTCAGGAGCTTTATGGCCGCAGTATTAGGGGAATGGAGTGAGTGGCAGCTCCAAGGCTCATCATAATCTATTTGGCCAATTGATTCCATGAGAACAGTACCAGTAACGAGGAACCTGGGAAGCATCCAGTTTATGGGACAATGGCCAGTTAAGCTGTTAAGAACTTATATAATTATATTAAGCCAGTACGTACGTGCGTACTCGGCACTACCATCGAACACAGTCATGATCGATCTTACAATTACCAACCATTAAATCGACGCCATAACGACTCGGATAGCGTCGGAAAAAAGATTTTTGAGCAAACTCTTCATCATGCGTTTGGGAGTTAATGATACCTAATAAAGTTTTCATACTTGTTACCTCAATGTTCTCTTACCTAAGGAGAGTTAACAATTCAGGAGACAGGCAGTCAACTTCTCAACAGGTTGTTCTTGGCCTTGCAATCCGTCCATCCGTTCATGCAAGGGGAGTCAAGTTGTCCCCAGGTCTGCCCCCCTCCACCCCAAAAGAGGCCAACCCCAGGATTCACCAGCACAATAACAAACGACGCGTAAACCCAAACGCTGAGTGACCTTCTCTAAAAAGTTTTTTTTACAGCCTGAATTCAAACAGTTAACCAGAAGCCACTGGTCTGTTACACGTGCCTTGATTCGTCTGCATTGCATACACATAGAGTACAGTCGCAACTCGATATGCCGGAACTCAATACACCGGATCCCTTGCTGTCCCGTACGAGATCCTCTGAGAATATTATTTTTCCTACTGCAAAATCAATCTGCTATCCCGGATTTTTTGCTATCCCGTACGAAATCCTTAGAATCTTGGCAATCCGGCATATCGAGTTGCGACTGTAGTTGGTCTGCAACCCGCTACTTACGGCATCAACCCTAACCCTTGTCCTCCCGTGGACAAAACAAAACTCCCGACGTCACACTCTTGGTTGGGGGGTTGAGAGTTTCCTCTCTCCACGGTGGCGCCGGGCCCTTGCCTTAGCTTTGGTGCCCAGTTAACAATATATTTATTAACCTGTTTTCTTTATGTATGTGCCGCTGGGTGTGTACGATCTCCTACCAACAGCTACATACCACCGCCGCAGCCTCTCTCCCTCCTCTCTCCCTCCCTCCCTCCCTCCCTCCCTCCCTCTCTCCCTCTCCCTTCCTCGAGAGAAGAAAGGAGCAGAGACTAGACAAGCTGGCCGCCTGGCCTGCCTGGCCCTTCCAACTTTTCCAGCAACTCATCATTTCTACCCACACCAATTCCTGTTCCTTTTCCCGATGGAGAAGCTGTTCCTGAATGTACCTTCCTACTGTACATAACAGCCACTTGATATGTAGATACCCACAGACGAAGCAGAATGGAGCACTTGTAAAGAAGGAAAAGCGAACAATGTGCCACAACACCCTAACCCTCGTAGTGTTAGCATATAACAGTCTTCCCCCCTAGGTGATTGATAATTGATCTCCCTCTTCCCCTTGCAGCCCAGTTTCTTCTTCTGCCAGACATCAGAACAGGCCACGGGGGGTGTCTCTATTTTCAGCCTCGCTGTCTACATACTTACCTCTCTGACAACCCACCACAACCACCACTGCGCGCTGATCGGTTTTTATATAAACCATCCATTCCCCTTCCCTCCCTCCTCTTCCCCACCGCATCACCCCACAAGGAAAGAAAGAAAAAAACGCGTCCAAGTATATCACTTATACACAATGTCTACTCGTAAACGCAAGCAAGAAGCCGGCGAAGAGGCCTCCGAGGAGGAGGAGCTCCAGGCCCTCCCCTCTGACGACAGCGAGGAGGAAGAGGAGTACGTGTTTCCCCTCCTGCGTTTCCCATGATCCCCCAACTAACGGCGGGAAGATATGTCGAGTCAGAGCCCGAAGACTCCGAAGCCGAGGACTCTGAGGCGGAAGCCTCAAAGCCCAAGAGACGCAAGGTTGAGCAGGCGCCCAACGAGGACGATGAGGACGAGGAAGATGAGGATGGTGAGGGCGAAGAGGAGGATGACGAGGCCGAGGGTGAGGGCGAGGGCGATGGTGAAGGTGAGGAAGAGGAGGCTGAGCCCGAAGAAGAGGAAGAGGAGCGTGATCCTCATGACGACTCGCACGATGATGAGGGCGATGATGGTATGTATCAATTGTTTCTCCTGTTTTTATTGTTACCTAAATTACTCCTCTGATTGTTTGTTTGTTTTAATCGCTAATCCGCTGTTATGATTGATAGACGCTGAAGGCGAAGATGACGATAAGAAAGATACAACTGCAGAGGAGGAGGACGCGAAGCCTGCAGCTGCAGAGAAGTAAAGTCACCACACAATCGGTGGTCC